GTTTCAACCATTTGGGAAACTATCATATTCAAAAACCCTGAGGTGCGTTGGTGGAGGATACTTTGGGGGGAAGTTTGTACTGCCAAGGAATCGTTTCATTACATGGATGGTTATCCTGGATCGTATTAAGACAAGGGATAAGCTTAAAGTCTGGGGAGTCACTGATGTTGTTGATTGTGTGCTGTGTTGCAAGTCTGATGAGTCTAGGCAGCACTTGTTCTGCGAATGTGAATATTTTATTGCTTTCGTTTATGCTCTTATGAGGGTGCATGTTTCTCTGCAGCATGGCTGGGATAAGATGCTTGTGTTTATGTGTAGGAAAGCTTCCTAGGGAGGTAGTGAGTCTTTGCTGGATAGTTCTTTTTGGTGCTGGAGTATAAGATGGCTTTGGAAGGAGTGCTGTAGACGCTGTTTTGGGGAGAGTTCGAGACCTCCAGAAGTTTTGCCAGAGTTACTCAGGGAAGAGATGAAATTTTTTAGCTACGGTCATATTGATTTTTCTTCTGAGGTTTTGAAGAGTTCTAGTTATAGCCAACTTGAGATAGCTTATATTCTTATTTTGGCTTTTTGCTTCTTGTTTGTTGTTCTCAGGAAGTTTGTAGGCTTATGCCTTCTGTATTTTTCGCCTCTTTTACTTTTTGGTAAAGAGTGAGCTTAAACGGTAACCTCTAATTACTGGAAAAAAGAGGAAAAAATCCAAAAGTACCACTGTTAAAAAAAAAAATTTCCAAAAATACCACCCAACCCCAAAAAATTCCAAAAATACCACCCTTTTTCAAAAACCGCCACCCCACCCAGCGGTTTGGTCGAAAACCGCTTGTCGGGGGCGCGGTTTTGGACCAAACCGCGGGCCTAGGTGGCGGTTATAAAAAAAAAAATTTGGACCAAAACCGCTGGGTGGGGTGGCGGTTTGGCCCAAAACCGCCACCCCAACCAGCGGTTTGGTCCAAAAGTTCGGTCGAAACTTCAAACGAACGTAACTTTGCACTCGGGTATCCGATCGTAGAGATTGTTTTATTCATTTCGCATAACTTTTCAAGATCTACAACTTTTACTAGGATGAAATTTTCAAAACAGGAACTATTTGTGGATATACGGGACCTTGAGAATAACTTTATCTTTAGTTTTCAGAAATCCATGTACATTTTGAAATTATGATTATATTAAAAGTTGTAGATCTTGAAAAGTTATGCGGAATCAAAAAAAATTTCATAACATTCGGAGTTTGGAGCACAAAGTTATGGCCGCCCAAAGTTTGACGAAAGGCGAGACCCGGCGGTTTGCGGCTTGCAAGATCTCAAAAAGTTTGCGGCCTCCATTTTTTGAATCCGAATAAATTTTTGAGATCTTGCAAGTCTCAAACAGTCGGGTTCCGTCTTCGTCTCGAAAAAACGTCATTTGCCACCCCGAACGACCTTTTTTTATTTCGTCAAACTTTGGGCGGCCATAACTTTGTGCTCCAAAATCCGAATGTCATGAATTTTTTTTTATTCCGCATAACTTTTCAAGATCTACAACTTTTAATATAATCATAATTTCAAAATGTACATGGATTTCTGAAAAGTAAAGGTAAAGTTATTCTCAAGGTCCCGTATATCCACAAATAGTTCCTGTTTTGAAAATTTCATCCTAGTAAAAGTTGTAGATCTTGAAAAGTTATGCGAAATGAAAAAAAAATCGCTACGATCGGTGACACGCTAAAACACAACACCTAACAGTGGCCAAGTGTAACCAATGAAAGGGACTGCAGTATAGTGGCACAAGTAATGAATATCGAATCCACGGGTCTCTAGAGTTACTATTACTCAGCTTCAGTTCATTATCTAGAAAACTAGATTAAGGATTGATTTACTAAACTACTCTACTAATTACAAGTTGGGAACTCACTTAGGTATGATTCCCCCTAGCTCCTCAATTAGGTCCAAGTTGCAATTACCTTTGGTTGTTCTACTGTTGATTAAACTGCGGAAGATCCGAAATTAGCTTGGAATCTCTTAAGCTGACCAAGCCCTCTCAAACAGAATACCCGACAGACGACTAGCCTTCACCGGGATAGACTGCTAAGGCGATTCACACAGATCTCCACTACTGGAATGAATTCCAGTACAAAGCAGTAAATTGATTGACTCTCGCACAACCAATTCACCACTATCAATCAAGGAAGCTCTCTTAACCTAATCAGATTCTATCTATCATAGGTTAAAGCAGAAATCAAGAGAATTTGATCAAGATTCAATTGACTCAATAAATCATGCCTCAATCGATTATAATCAAACAATAAAGCATCCAAAACTTCATACAAGAAAGATCCTAACTCATGGAACTAGGGTTCCTCAAAACCTAAGTGAAGGGAAGTTACTCCATAGAGAAGAGAGAGACTGCAGAAATCTGATCTAGATCTTCAATCTCCATCTCCAAGCTTGATTCCCGAGCTCCAATGGCGAAGAAATCCTCCAAAATAGCTCCAAGAATGTCTCCAAGTCGCTCTCTCTCTCTAGGGTTCGTCCCTTGGGTGTTTGGGATCCAAAACCCAGCTCTCCCCTCTGTTTGGCTCGGAATCCGCTTTAAAACCAGACTTTCCCGAGTTGCACGGCCAGGTGCACGGCCGTGCACAACACAATTCTGGCCGTGCACCCTCAAAACGCACCGTATCAATTATTCGGCCTTCATCCACCTTGCACGGCCAGGCGCACGGCCGTGCAAGCTTCAAGCCTGCCCGTGCATGGCCTCGACATGAGGTGCACGGCCAAATGGCTCAAGTGCACGGCCGTGCAGCCTCCTGGTATGCCCGTGCACTCCCCAAACAGCTCGCCCTTCGTCCGTTCTGCGTCCAATCGACCCCAGACTCGCTCCTAAGCCTTCATTCACGTACTAGGACCTGAAATAACACAAACAAGCACAACCTAGCGTGAAATCGGCCTAAAACACGAGAATCAACACCTCAAACGGTGTAAGTATGAGGGTAAAAACATGTGTAAATGACGGTCTATCAATCGGATACCCGAGTGCAAAGTTACGTTCGTTTGAAGTTTCGACCGAACTTTTGGACCAAACCGCTGGTTGGGGTGGCGGTTTTGGGCCAAACCGCCACCCCACCCAGCGGTTTTGGTCCAATTTTTTTTTTTTTTTATAACCGCCCCCTAGGCCCGCGGTTTGGTCCAAAACCGCGCCCCCGACAAGCGGTTTTCGACCAAACCGCTGGGTGGGGTGGCGGTTTTTGGAAAAGGGTGGTATTTTTGGAATTTTTTGGGATTGGGTGGTATTTTTGGAATTTTTTTTTTTAAACAGTGGCACTTTTGGATTTTTTCCGAAAAAAGAGGAGGCTTTTCTTGCGGAGAAACTGGGATGGATAGAAAAAGTAGGAAAACTCGTGGGTTTTATATTCATTATAATTATTTAATTATTAATACTTTGCTCTTTGTTCTATAAAAAAATATAAATTTTAATTATTCAATTTACAAAAATATTTTTTCTAAAATCACCTAGAAATTTTAGATGGAGCATGTTATGAATTATGATGGAGAATCCCGTAAATAAGTGGTAGGAACTAGGAAGCATCTATCTATCTATCTATCTATCTATCTATATATAAATTATTAAAGGGGTTTAAGATTTGCACCACTGCCACATCAGCTTTAAACTTCAATTAACCTATCCACATCAGCACCCAAACTTCTCTGATCTCTCTCATGCTTTCCTCGACCCTTTGGGAAAAAACCACCCTTCTCCTAATTTAAATGAAACGCTGTGTCTCTTCTTTTAGGGTTATAGGTATAATATTCCCCTCTATTATGACGTTTTATCAAACATGTCCCTCTACTATTTTTTACATCAAACATGCCCTTTTGTTAAACTTTCCATTGCAAAAATCGTCAATCATGGTTGAACCGAGATTATTTCAGTTTTGTCTCCCGTTTTATTTCTCTGGGTCTCTTCAAAGTGAAATTATTTGAATTATTTGGCTATACAAAAGAACCAAAAAAATTCTAAAGTGAAATTATTAGGGATATTTTAGACATTTGTGTCACCCAAACCAAAGTTTGGCATTTATTAACGGATTTTGAATGGAAATTTTAACAGAAGGACATGTTTGATAATTTTTTCAAAGTACAAAAGCATGTCTGATGTAAAAAATAGTTTAGGGACATGTTTGATAAATCGTCATAGTAGAGGGGCATATTTTACCTATAACCCCTTCTTTTATTGCCTTAGTTTTTTTTTCATTTCACTTTTTGGGAATAACTCGGCAGTTGCTTTGCTGAGTTTGCTCCCCTTTTATTTTCCTTCCTATAATTTTTTTTCTCTATTTTTATTCACATATTATTTGCATAATTATTAAAATCAACACAAAGCATTGCCAATTTGCCATTCACAAAAATCCTTTTAAAAACACCATAACCCATTCACAAAATCCCGGTCAAAACAAGAATTAGATGAGATCAAATAGGGCAATCACCGTCAAAATGAATATTATTGCATTCAAATTCATCAGTGAGACCACCATCCAATTTCTGAATTCATCTAAGAATTAATGCTAGACTCTATCATTTATAAAGAACTAATTTCAATATTTTAAAACAAAATAGGGCAAAAAGACCCTTTGAGCATAATAGTCGACTAAAACCAAAATCGACGTGCTGGAATGTGTACAATTCAATCACCGTCAAAATGAATATTATTGTATTTGAATCCATCCATAAGACCACCTTCCAATTTTTTAATTCATCTAAGAATTAATGTTAGACTATCATTTATAATAAAAAATTTCAATATTCAAAAATAAAAGTTAACTAATAAATTTCAATATTCAAAAATAAAAGTTAACTGTCCAACGGGCAGGGTCCAAGCTAGTTGTGATTTAACTTAGAATTTTGTGAAAAGGGATATAAGCACCCCTGCCGCAAATTAACAACGATAGCAATCGGAAAACACTAGGATGGAAAGAAAAGAAAAAAAAATGATCGCAGAAGTTTGTGAACGCAACCAGCGAAATTAACTAATTAACTACCGCAGCTTAACATCGTTTCCCCAACTCGGTACGCGGCATAGGCATCAACGGTCGCACTCTCGATCTGCTCCATGCTCAGAGCTCCTTCGCACCAGTTGGACCAGATCACCGTCATCGGCTTCGGATCCAGCTCCTTCTTCTTCCTATTCCCAACTTTACCGGCCAGCTCCCTCGCCCCGTACGCCGCCAACGCCGGCTTCCTCATCACGGCCGCGGCTAGCTCACTCAGCTCCACCGCGTTCCCCACCACGATCCCGTACTCCCGCCGCAGTTTCTCCAGGTCCTCCTTGATGTGGACGCCCGCGAATATGGCGTCCTTGAAGGCCATGAACTGCCGGAGGGACGGCGAGACGGATCCGGCGCCCGGTTTCAGCCGCACCAGGATGCAGCCTAGCTCCGTGTAGAATTTGAGCATCACGATCGGGTGGTCGAGCCCGGCGGTTCCCGATCTGCAGAGGTTCCACTCGGTGGCGAAGCCGACCAGCATGTTGCGGCGCTGGATCATGTCCTCGAGCAGGACGTAGAGGGAGGTGTGGGCGTCGTCTTCGTCGGTCACGACTTCGGTGAATACGGTGGCGCCGTCGGAGAGGTTGAGCTTGATTCCCTTTGGAATGAAGGACATTTTGCTGATTATTGCTTGCAGGATATGGATGTGGATGATCAGATTCCGATGGCACAAGTAGAGGGGATGGTCTACTTATATTAGATTAAGAGGAGACTCTTGAATCATTGGAAGGTCAACGGAAGGAACAAATAAACAAAGAAGAACTATCTAATTGATTTCACAAGGGAACAGTTCTTCAGTATTGACCAAATCAAACCTTTACCCAGCTTGCGGCAACATGATCAGATGAACAGGAATAGTGAGCTCAATAGGCAAAAGGAGAACAAAGTGCTCAAGTTGCAAAAAGCACCTGACACAGCAGCATACCAAATATGCAAAGATCAAAGCAGCTAGTCTCGTCGCCTTGGATGAAGGATATACTTAACATAGCTGCCTTATAAGTGAATCCACCCCAGTTCTTCATTGCCTGCTATCATTTCCACGGATATGCTACACAATTTGGTAGCAGGAAGATGGTTCCTTTTTGACGATCTGCATTCTGCTTCCTCCTGCCTTAGTCAATCATCAATATGGTCTTTCTACTGGTTTAACAATGTCCTCATATGGACTTTCCACCAGCGTCGGGTCTTCCACTATCAATCAAAGTAGGAACCCCGTCCAGGAAGACATGAAAGGGAACACAGCAACCAGCATCCGGAGCAGAAGAGGTTTCTCCCTAACTCTTCTTCTGCTCATCCTAACTCTGTTTCCTTGCTTCCTTTGCCCATCTACCTTCCTTCCATTTCGCATTGTAGTTGTCTTTGTTCGTGGAGTCTCATTGCCTACTCTATCTAGCTCGTCCCACCCACCAAACCCCGGACCACCTTTACTATCCCTCTTCTTATGTGCACCATCGTCATCACCATCTTTTGCTACCCATGACTGATAACCGTTCCCACTTCCATTGCTTCTTCTTTCTTCTTCTTCTTCATGTTGTTCCTTTCTCGCCCTTGTTTCGGTCGTGGAAGCAGTTTTGCTAAAGGGTCTTTTCTTCCTTGATTGGGTCCATGATCTGGTTTTGGGTCTTTTCTCATATGTGCTTCTTCCCCAGAGCTTGTCAACCACCAGTGAAACCACGGTCTGGCCTAGTGGAACTGCTAAGGCCATGAGCAATGCGTTTTGGTCCGTTCCTACCAGCATAGATACTGCAATTGCTGGAAACATCCAACCTAAAGCTGCCATCACCTGCAGAATCCGAAAGCCTAATCAGTAACCCATTGGAGTTAAACATAATGCGCTGTGTTCTACATCCAAATTCTCCCCTTTCAGTATCTCAACATTCACCAGTGGCTTACCAAAAAGGAAGATGCGCTACAAAGGAGCTGAACAAACTTGTCCGCATTGATTCACTACCGAAATTATGAACACGTAATAATTTTCAGCGGTGACTAGAATTTCGATTAGTGTCTTGAATTACCTTGAAAAGGGGGAACTCATTCTTCGTATCGTCCACCTCCCACGAATCTGAATCGAAATCGGAATCAGCGTCTTCATCGTCGTCGTCGAGCCACCAGACTCTCTTGGTCGAAGAAGCTCCGCCAGACCGGAAACCTCCATACCGATCATCGCTGTCGTCGGTGAAGAGCTCATCTCTGAAGTTGTACCTTAGCCGTCTGGTCGGTCCCCGGCGACTCCAGTTGGTGAAAGCTGTGGTGGGAGGCAAGATCCCAGAACTCTTGAATTCGCAGGGGTATTGGACAGCAAGTGATGGTAGCAGCGGCGAGGGAGGGTTGAAGTGGAGCTCGAAGAGAAGAAGGCGGTGATATGGTTCCATTTGCGGGTAACTTTAGTTATCGTTGTCCAAGTCTATCGAGATATGGTTTTAGTACTCGGATCCGGGTCGGCCCGGACCTTGCTCGTTTGCCAATGGTTTGCAAATGAGGTTTTAGCCATCATTTGAATTTACTATTGGGTGTTTTGGAGGAATTTATACCGAAGTGAGCATGATGGAAAGTTGGGAATTAGAAGGTTAGAGAATTTTAACTAGGCTTTGTTGGCCACAATTGCTTGAAGAATATGGATGGAGTTGGAGTCATTGCTTGTCCGGGTACTTAAAGGAACATATTCATCTAATTCAGGAGTGCTAGAGGCTGGAAGCAGATAAAGGCCTTTGTGGAGTTGGATATAAATTTTGCATGGTCGAGATCTTCTACTGGAAGGATTAAAATGGCAAATTGGGGATGGGGAGCGAGCTCGTATTTGTGAGGATACCTGGATCCCAGGAGTGCCATGAAGATAGGAGGTTGTCTTACCGGGGGCTCCAGTGGTGATAGGACAAAGGGTGGCGGCTTTTATGGTGCCAGGTACCGGATAGTGGTATACCTTCGAGATTGGTTTGTCGGGGAAGTTGTAACGAAAATTTTAGAGATACAATTGGCCCCAGTTGCAGGTTGAGGATAAACTTGTGTGGGAGGGAGAGCAATCACGTGTTTATTTGGGAAGTCAGGTTATCATTTAGCTTTGCAGTTGAGTCGACGGCAGGCAGGGAAGAAGGCGGAAGTATCCTTTTTTGAGCGGTCTTTCTGAAAACAGATATGGAGCTTTAATATTCTACCCAAGCACAAGTTATTCGTCTCGCAAGCGATGAAGATAATCCTGCCTACAACAAAGGAGATCATTGAAAATGGTGGTACGTGTGCAACCCGGTCTCTAGTGTGTTGGGAGTCCCAGGAAAGTTTGGAGCATATGCTATTAACATGCCGGGTGGCGACTGTTTTGTGAGATACTTCTGGTCTCGGGGTAGTTCAATAGGATCCAATGCAAGTAAATGCCCTTTTCTTTCCAAAGTTTATCAAACAGGATGCTAGTTCAGAGTGGGTATGCAGGGTTTTGGCTTTGCTTTGGAGAATGCGGAAATCATATGCAGGTTGACTTGAGGGTGTTATTAAGACAATATAATGAACAAGTTAGAGAGTGGTTGGCTTTGGCGCCACCGACAGAGATAGGGGCTCGTGCTGGGGGGAGTATGAGTGACAGGTGGTCGACTGTCGATACACCTTTGCAGTGTTACGTGGATAGAGTGGTAGTAGTAGGGTATCACTCAGCAAGTGGGTTGGTGGTACTACATGAGCTGGGGAATGTAGTTTTCGTGAAAGGCTTTCAGTATGCAGGTTTGCAGGATCCTTGGCTGGTAGAATTGGTGGCGTTTTGGGATGTGATACAATGGTGCTCTTTGAGGGGTCTCATTGAGGTGGTGTTCCTGGTGATGGTATTTCCAAGATCCAACAAAGGGACAGTCCTAATGCAAGGGGGACGGATTTTGGTGTAAATTGAGCTGACAATAGTATCAGGCTTTTGGGATTTGCTTTGTCGACAGGATAAGTAATCGGGTGGCCAATTTGGTGGCTAGGAAGTCCATTTCATTGTTTCCTGCTACTGTTGATCATTTGGATTTTAGACGGTGGTTGTTTTTTGAATTGTAATTGTTGTGCTGTAGAACTTTGATATTTGTGTTTCTTGATAATACAAGTGAGCTTTTGCCAAAAAAATCATTTGGATTTTCAAAACTCTGAAAATTTATGATGGATTTGGTATATTGTCGATTTAGAAAGTTTCTTATTGGTCATTTGCTTCATGAATTTAAAAATGAGGGTTTTGGTAACATGGGTTTAGGAAAACTATGGATTTTGGGAAAACATGAATTTATGATAGATTTGGTGGCATTACGAATTTGAACAAGTCTATTGTTTGCTTGTTGGATTTGATTATGGATTATGTTTGATTAGATATGTGGATGTGAAACATAAATAACCTTGTTATCCTTATCTAATTATATTTCTATTATAATGCAAAATTTACATGCATACAAAGAAATTGAGCCTCTACCTTTGTGAACTAACTCAATTACAAATGTAGGAACGGAAAATAGTTTGGGAAATGACACAACTTCCCAATTTTGGAATCTAACAGTCAATCAAGCTATAATGCACAGGATGAGTATAATGTATTAGAAATTTCAAAAGAGGAGTAAAAATAAGGCTATGTAAATGAAGAGGTGAAATTCAACCAAAATTGAATTTTTATAGTTTTTGGTTAAACTCGAGCACCACCCGAAATCCAAAATTTCATCCCGAAATACACAAGTTATGCAAGAAATTGATGTTAACCAACCTGAAAAGAGAAAGAGACAAGGAATTCCCATCTACATAGGCGGAACTTTCAAATTCGTGGTGTCCATGAATTTGGACCTCCAAAATCCACAAGCCTCATGGATTTACTCCCACCAATTCCATCAAACAAACAATAGTCGTTTTCAAAATCTGTGATGATTACATGTCCATCACCAAATTCATAAAAAAAAAAACCTTGAAGCAAAAATCCCCTTATGTGCTATATGAATTTAAGAAATATGGATTTACAACTTCAAAAAGCAAATAACTTCATTAACCTTTTTTATTCTTTTACTAGTGTCTCTCTATCCATATAAGACCATTGACCAGTTACTCATCTGAGATTTTCCTTTCCAAAGTTTATCTCTCCACCATTGTCTTCTAGCTTACCTCGGGTTGTTACTCATTCATCGACCTCCAACTTACCCGACGCATCATTTTTTCATTGGTGGCATCCTGATCCCTCGTCCTTACTCTCTTTGTTTCACTTAGGTAAGATCCTTTCTTATTCTTCTTCTCTCAATCAATGATTGACTTCATAGTTGCTATGCATGCGAATGCAGAAATGGCGAAGCCTAAAATTAAGCTCATGACAAGTAGAGGGAAGGGCATGAAGTGGTCGGATGAGTTCGAATACGATGAGGAAGAGGTGACTTGTAAGTGTGCTCTAAGGGCTGCTCGAAAGCCTCCTTTGAGACTTCAGTTGATGATTTGGTTTTTGCTATAAAGCCACATGGCTCATTGATTTTTTTTGTAGCGGACTACTATTTGAGATTTGTGGCACTATCGCCTTCGTCACCCCCACAAGGCCAAGTTATTGGATATGTTTTGTAGTCATTTACTTCCAGGAAAGTTGGATTCTCATTTGGTTTCCTCTCATTCTTGCATCACTTGTATTTGTTATGGGACAATCCAAGTACCACATCGGAAATACAAGGGAAGAAACCCTTGTATATAAGTGTCTACCAAGCTCATTAGTATGATGCCTTTTGGGGAGGATATCCAAGAGTAAAACCGTGCGGGCTTGGCCCAAAGCGGAAAATATTATACTAATGGAGCTGCCCAGTTATGACAAGTGGTATCAGAGCCTGGTTCGGTTCGGGGCGGTGGACGTCAGTTTGGTGGGACCCTCATTCGGTGACCTCGGAATTTGAGATTTGCGTTTGTCTGGAGGGCAAAGGTGTTTCGCGTCTGTTTTGTGGATCCAAGAGAGATCCACGTTTGGGTTTGGCGGATCAAAGAGATTTCCGCATTTGGGAAGCAGATAAAAGAGAGTTTTGCGTCTGGTAAAGTCCTTGTATCGAGAATCCCATCGATACAAGGCGTCTGGCGGATCAAGATAATCACCGAGGTGAGGACATGAAGTCCATGGTCCTTGTCTTAAGAGGAGGATTGTTATGGGACAATCCAACTACCACATCAGAAATACAGGAGAAGAAACCCTTGTATATAAGTGTCCACCAAGCTCATTAGTACGAGGCCATTTGGGGAGGATACCCAAGAGTAAAACCGTGCGGGCTTGGCCCAAAGCGGATAATATCGTACTAATGGAGCTGCCAAGTTATAATATGTGGTATTAGAGTCTGGTTCGGTTCGAGACGGTGGACGTAAGTTTGGTGGGACCCTCATTCGGTGACCTCGGGATTTGAGATCTGCATTTGTCTGGCGGGTCAAAGGTGATTCACATATGTTTGGTGGATCCAGGAGAGATCCACATTTGGGCTTGGCGGATCAAAGAGAGTTCCGCATTTGAGAAGGAGATCAACGAGATTTCTGCGTCTGGTAAAATCTAGGGATGGCAATGGGTAGGGTCGGGTGAGTTTTACCCTATACCAACTCCTAACCTGCCGGGTAGAGCCTACTTAAATACCTGACCAAATAACCACCGAGTATGAAAATGATATAACCATACCCTACCCACCGCGTAACCACGGGTATTCGGGTAACCATGGGTACAAATCCTAAAATATGAACTTATACACATATATATATGCACATACATACTATTGTCCATTAAAAATTCTCAATACTTGTAACTGTTTTAGCTTCAACAATCCACACATAAACAAAAACAACAAAGACAATATTAGAACCAGACCACATCAAATGCTCACTGCTTAACTTATGCTTCATGACATCCATCAAGGCATCATTAGTAGAACAATTATCCAAGGTAATCGTAGATACCTTTGTGTCAATATCCCAAGCAAGTAAAGTTTCAAGAAGAGCCTGAGCAAGCACCTCACTTGTGTGTGGGCAAGGAAAATCGACTGCTGGTTAGGGTTAGGGCTAGGGAAATTGACCCTTTGGTTAGCGGGGTAGATATAACAGAGCGGGTATTATCGATTACCATACCCGTACCCTACCCTTTATTTTAAAATCGGGTATTACCAGTATCCGCCCCATAACCTGTCAAAGCGGGTAATTACCCTCGTTGACCGGTTACGGTCAGGTAAGGTACCCATGGTTACGGGTTGGATTGACATCCCTAGTAAAGTCCTTGTATCGAGAAGCCCATTGATACAAGGCATCTGGGAGATCAAGATAATCGCTAAGGCGAGGACATGAAGTTCGTGGTCCTTGTCTTGAGGGGAGGATTGTTATGAGTATAATCCAAGTACCACATCGGTAATACAAGGGAAAGACCCCTTGTATATTAGTGTCCACCAAGCTCATTAGTACGAGACCTTTTGGGGAGGACACCCAAGAGTAAAACCGTGTGGGTTTGCCCATAACAGACAATATCGTACTAATTGAGCTCCCCGGTTATGACAAGTGGTTTAGAGCCTGGTTCGGTTCGGGGTGGTGGACGTCAGTTTGGTGGGACCCTCATTCGGTGAGCTCGGGATTTGAGATCTGCATTTGTCTGGCGGGTCAAAGATGATTCTTGTCTGTTTGGTGGATTGAGGAGAGATCCACATTTGGGCTTGGCGGATCAAAGAGAGTTCCGCATTTGGGAAGAAGATCAAAGAGAGTTTTGTGTCTCGTAAAGTCCTTGTATCGAGAAGCCCATCAATACAAGGCGTCTGGCGGATCAAGATAATTGCTGAAGCGAAGACACGAAGTTCATGGTCCTTGTCTTGAGGGGAGGATTGTTATGGGACAATCCAAGGGAAGAACCCTTGTATATAAGTGTCCACCAATCTCATTAGTACAAGGCCTTTTGGGGAGGATACCCAAGAGTAAAAGCGTGTGAGCTTGGCCCAAAGCGGACATTATCGTACTAATGGAGCTGCCCAGTTATGACAGTATTGAACGTCAAAGTCTTCCTTCTCTTTTAGTAAAATGATTTATGAACCGTTCAAGCTATTTCAAATAGATCAATGGGATCCTTCCCCTATTACATCTCGTATGGGCTACCGGTATTTTGCACTCTTCATTGATCATGCTACTAGGTTTGCTTGGATCTATTTTCTCTGCTAGAAATCCGAATTGATTGTCATGCTTAACACTTTGTTCAGATGGTGATGACCTAGTTTGGTAAAAAAAAGGTGAAGGTTATTTGATCGGATCATGACGACAAATGTAGTTCTCATCATTTGCTTGACTTTTATTCTTCTCAAGGTATATTGCCTCAACAGTGACGTCTTGGTGTTTCTCAGCAAAATGGTTTGGTCGAAAGGAAAATATCATCATGTGTTAGAACTGAAACATGCTCTTCTCTTTCATTCTTGCATATCGAGCGGTTTTTGGGTTGACGCCTTTGCCACAGTGTTATACCTAATTAATTGACATATTACTCCTGTACTTGAGCATCAGTCACATTTTTTGCGAATTTACTCTAAGTTACCTTACTATTCGTGGCTCTGGGTGTTTGGTTGTCTCTACTTTGTGTTACTACCTAAGAAAGCACATGATAAATTTTCTCCCAAGATGGTTCATTGTGTTTTTCGTTTCACAATAATAGCCAACACAAGGGCTACTTGTGCTATGAGTTGCCGGCTTGCCAAATGCATATATCTTGGCACGTTGTGTTTCTACAACAAGTTATGTATTATACATCTTTAAATCATGGGACACCACTGATGTTGAGCTTCTTCGCCCATTGCCATGGTTTGATGTTGTTCCAGCAGTCAAGGGTGATGGTTTTCAGGGAGGGAATGAAGATGAAAATCACTCACTCTCCTTGTCTAGTGAAGGAGGTCCTTCTTCAAACCTTGGTTAGGATGGTTCAGATGATTACTCAGGTAGCAGCTAGCCCTTGTTGGGAAGTTCAAGATTTGACTTTTCTTCTTCTACCTTTTCCTCTTCTCTCAATTCTGGTTCTCAGTACGGCTCGTCTTCAGCATGTTTCTCTTTGACTAGCCAGTCTTTAGTTGGGTCCTCTTAGTTGTCAGCTCAGATACGAAATTAGGGAAACCACCTCCTTTTCCTAACCTACATCGGCTGTCACGATTCACAATGGGTCAGTTGTTGAAGCGATTGGAAGACTATGTAGGATTTTCAGCAAAACCGATCTCCATTCATAGTCATTATCGATTCGCCAAGGGTAATACAAAATGAGAATCGATAATGTCGGAAGAGTTATGGGCTTTCGAGGAGAATCAGACGTGGGACTTGATTCCACGTATTCTTGGAAGTTCAGTAATCGGTTGTCGCTGGGTATACATTGTAAAGATGAAATCAGATGGGTCACTGTAACGTTATAAGAGTGGAATAGATTATGATGAGATGTTTGTTCCAATTGCAAAAATGAAGATAGTGCGTAGTGTTCTTGCAGCGGTAGCAATGAAGAAGTGGCCCATTGTGCAGTTAATGTTAAGAATGTCTTTCTCCATGGAGACTTATAAGAAACAATTTACCTGGAGTGTCCATAAGGCTATGATAAAAGCGCACAAGGTATGGTCTGTAAATTGGAATGCCACTCTATGGTTTGAAGCATGCACCACGAGCTTGGTTTGCTAAGTTCCATAGTACGATCCTACATTCTGACTTTGTTCGAAGTCAAAATGATCCATCAATATTTACACGACAGGCAATTGATGGCAATACAGTGAGGCCCTTGTATATAGATGATATGATAGTAGCTGGAAGTGACACGCTGCGGATTCAGGAGTTAATTGACTATCTACGTTAAGAATATTATCTAAAGGAGTTGGTTGAGACATTACTTCTTGGGGATTAGAGATCAATAGAACTGAGTCCGAAATTTTTGTAAGTCAACATAATATATTAGCGACCTACTCGAAGTAGCACAGAATACAAATTGATGATCGTGTTCAACACCAATGGAAAAGAATTTGAAGCTTAGTCGTGATAGGGGGAATTGTTGGAGGATCAAACTTGTTATAGAAATGTAGTTTCAAGCCTGATTTATCTTTCACATACTCGACTAGATATTGCGTACGTAGTACAAGTCGTGATCCAAGTCACGGGAACAGCTCGTACTCCGCATTTGGATGCGGTACATTGGCTATTAAGATATTTGAAACAACAAAGGATGTCAGAGTTTTCTTCCCGACAAATGGCGAATCTGAGATCGTGGCATTTGCAGATGCCAACTATGCAAGTTGCTTGGAGACTAGACTTTCACTGTCTGGTTGGTGTGTGAAGTTTGGGCGATCTTTTATTTCTTGGAGGTGTACGTGGAAAACAAGACAAGTTCTCGAAATTTTATACCGAAGCAGAGTATAGATCTATGTCTGAAGTCAGTTCATAAATGGTCTGGCTCCGGAGGTTGTTTCAGGAGTAGGGAGTAGAGTGCAAACTTCCTATGCATATCTAAGGAGATAATACGAGTGCTATTCTGCTTATAGTGAATCCAGTGCTACATGAAAGGACAAAGCATATAGAAGTATATGTTCAGTATATCATACAGATTGTAGTTGAGGGTGTTGTGCAATTGAGTTATTTATCGACTGATGATTAGACTATAAATGTGTTGATGAATGCAGTAGGGTTAAGAAGAGTATGAAATTGATGTTGTGCCCCAAACATCAATTTGAGTGAGGATGTTAGTTTACTAATAATAGGTACCGATTTGTAAATAGTAAATGACATGTAGTTTGGGTTTGTATAGCAAGCATATATATGTGTTGTTGTGTACTACGTTGAAAGTAAGCAATAATATACCAAAAAGCTGAGAGAGAGATTATCTCCATAAATCAGGATCATACTGACGATATCACATTAAAAAACTTTTGTGTGCTTTTGTTTCGGATTAAGATTATTTGACAATAGAATGCTCATGGAAAAAAAGAATGTATATAATGGCTTTGTAAGATACCAAAAATTGACCGCCTTCACAAGAAATTGTTCCTGCAAATCATTTACTAAACAGTCTTACTATACTTCTCTTCTTTGATAACTAGAAGTCTAGAATATAGAAACTAACACAAACTTTTCATCTGTACATCTTCCTCTTTCAGTCTAGAAATGGCAAGACAACAACATAAAAAGAGTTCAAAACGACTCAACCTTGGCCAGCAATTGCCCACCCACTTCCTCTTCTTCAACCCGAAAGTAAGGGTTCTTCTCGACAGGCTGGAAGTTATAGAACACAAACCCATAAAACACCAAGCTCGCAGCCTCCCCTAAGAAATACCTCACCCACTCGAACCTGTAACCCATCACGGACCCAATCGCCGTCGCCGCAACTCTGGTGAAATACAGGTACACAACCAGCACCAAATAGAACTGCCTGAAAAGGGTCAGCTTCTCCAGATTCCTCGCAGCCTTCCCATCATTCTTCGAAGCCTCTCTCAGTGATTTTATCGACCACATGATCGGCATCAACACCGCAAAGCAACACAAGATGTCCATCAACAAGAAAATCTGGTTCCACGCTACCCAGTCTTTCGTCGCGGGCCCCGTCTCGTCGATCACGACATTGGCAATGTTTTCGAGCACCTGGAGTGGGAAGACGACCATCAGGACGTTCTTTTCTCGTTCGTGTAAATAGGGTTTGAGGAAAGACCATCCCGTGCCGATGAGAACAATGACGGTGAAGAGCATGATTCCTTTGAGGAACCCGAAGGCGTAGAACGCCACGTCCCAGCCGTGCGGGCTGCCGGTTGTGGAGACGTGGAGCTTGTCCTCCGCGGCGCAGATTAGCTTCAGGGATTTGACGAGGAGGAGAGCCGCCATGATTAGATGGATCTTGCCGACGACGACGGCGTATTGGCTCCTCTGCTTGCAGAAACAGAGGAATGCCCAGAAGAGGGTGAACGAGGCGTAGATTGAGAAGAACCCCAGATAGAGATAAGGGAGAAGGGTTTGGCCCACGGGGAGATAGACTTTCTCGCCGGAAGATTCTTCGATGTTGTACATCTCGGTGTGGACGTGCATCGAGATTTCGAATTCGGGCTGGCAGTTGCCGAACATTAGGCTGTAAGATCCGGGATTGGCGATTGAGGCGTTGAATGTGGAATTATTGGCGGTGAGGGTGTCGAATCGGAATATGACGTGGGCGAATTGGCGGGAGAGAATGCAAGAAGAAGTAGTGTCCATGGCGGCAGCAGCGGCGGTGGCACGAGCGGCGGCGGCGACCTCGGGTGAGGAGTAGAAGGATTCATTGAGGATTACGGAGATGTCTCTAGCTATGAAGAAACCCATGTTGGAGAGATTGGGTGGCTTGGCATTTGGGTTACGGGATTTCCATGAAACGTTCTTGACGGAGATGTCGACGTGGCCGTTGCTGGAGAAGCCGAACTGCTCGAATAGGATCAGAGAGCGGCGATCGGCGACGATGTGGGTGTTTTTAATCTCGGATGAACATTGTGGGAGGAGGGTTAAAAGCAGGATGGAAATGGCGAGGATGAATTGAGGGTGTGGGGCTGGACTGGTTAGTAATTTGTTCTCGATTAACATCCTGATTATTGATCATGAATTTTCTTTCTTTGTTCTCCGATTTTTGTCTTGTTTTGGGGGATAGAGAGACGAAAATTTGTCTTAAAACTTCATGAAAAATGTCTCTGGGAAAATCTAGTTTTCAGAATTGTCGGGTGTATGATGACAAGATTCACCAAAGGATTTTAGAATTTGTGGCACAAGTGATCAAATGTAAATTTTTATTAGCCAAAGGTTTTGGGAAAGTTCTTTGTGAATATTCTGGAATTAACAAAATAGATTTCTATGGTCCAAATTTATGAAGTTTCTTTTTAAAAATGTTTTTTTTTTAATATTATGAATGTGAGGACAATATCCGTTGTTCACAAGATGACGATTATAATTTGGAATTAAGTTTAGTTAGGGACTTAATTTTTGTTTTCCTTATTTGTCTTTTTGTTTTGTTTTTAAATGATCGATTACAAGATGATGAGTGGACATACATGTGACAACTATTGACATGTGTGTTACATCATGTTGATTTGATTATTGGGTAAATACAATATAATAGTCAAACCTTCTCTTTTAAACAAAATAATAGTCAAATATTTTCGACACAATTTAATTGTCAAACTATCAACTTTCCGTCTGGTCAACTGTTAGTTGACTTTGACGTGACACTTTAATCGCTGAGTTGGATGTTGATTGATGGTGTGGCAAAGAATCAATCATTTGACCGTGTCACATGTATATTTATTAATTTATATATTTATTATTAAAAAAAACAATCAAACAAAAGTAACAAGCAACCAAATTGGAAGGAGCTGCTTCCTCTTATCCATTTTCCTCGTCTTCTCATACGAAATAAAACTGCAGGTGTAGAATGCTTAACCTCGCCATGAGGGTCTTTCTACTATTACTCACTGCAAGCCCAGTTTGTTGAATTAGAAGGGCTCTAGGTAGCTTTTTTCTATCTCTCAATCTCTTTCTCTTGTGGTGGCCGGAGATGGGGTTCGTGTTGGAATAATTAGCCACATGGGTGCTTTGTTAGTGAGTGTTTTGTTTCTAGTCGTTTTGGAGTTAAGAGTCATTAGATGGCTTAATAACTAAGTAGGAATTAGTTAGCAGCAGAAGTCAAAGTAGTTAAGTAGTGCTGCTATTTTTCAGGGATATGGGTTAGTGGTTAGAAGTGGGAGATTGGGAATCGTACTTGGCAGATGTATATAAGCTATTTTTCATCATTCAATAATATTTTTGCCAGTTTGTAGCCATTTGGTCTCTTCATGTGGTATCATAGTCAATAGCAAACTGTAAACACGATTTCTACGAGTGCGATTGAGAGTTTGCGATTTTCAGACTGGTATTGGGAAACACGAGTGATTGATTGCGAGGATTGCTTCTGGGTGTGAATGAAACACGAGAAGTTTGGTAAGATTTATCATCATTGTGAGACTGTGAGTTGTGTGTTGATATTATGGGTGAAATCAGTGATATTGCTCAAATTTGTATCCCGAAATTTGACGGTGATTATGATTACTGGAGCCTTTTAATGGAAAATTTGTTTCGATCCGAGGATTATTGGGGAGTAGTGAGCGAAGGCTTTACAGAACTAGCAACTGGAGTTTCTGCAGTTCAGATCGAAGCCCTTGAAGATTTGAGGTTTAAAGACCTTAAAGCTAAGAACTATCTCTTTGGCTCAATCGACAAAGCCATTCAAAAGACAATTACAAAGAAGGATACTGCAAAAGAGTTGTGGGATTCTATGAAGACCAAGTTCCGGGGGAGTTCTAAGGTAGGACGTGCTAAACTTCAAGCTCTACAACGTGACTTTGAGGTTCTAGAGATGAACGAGAGAGAGACTGTGAAGGACTATTTTTGTAGAGTTATGGTAGTCTGCAATGCTATGAGAAATTGCGGAGAGACGACGGCTAATGTCAAGATTGTTGAGAAAATAATCAGGACTCTAACAGAGAAGTTTAACTATATTGTTTGCTCAATTGAGGAGTCAAAGGATATAGAAACTTTATCTGTGGATGAACTTCAAAGTTCCTTTATTCTTCATGAACAAAAGCTTAGCAGATGAGTTGTGGAGGAAGATCAAGCTCTCAAGTTAGGTTTTGATGGTGGCAGTGGAAGAGGGAGAGGTCGTGGAACCTTTCCTAGTAAAGGTAGTTGTTGTGGCAGATTCAAAAGCAAAGAGGAAGTTGAGTGCTATAAATGCAAAAAAATTGGGCAGTTTCGAGATGAATGCCCTGAATGGAATCAACAAATCCATTACTCCAGTTGGTCTGCTGATATGAGAGAAGGGATACTTCTCATGACCTACACTGAACCAACTCTAGAGAAGATGCAAACCATGAAACCTGATAGTTGGTGGTTTTCTGATTCTGGTTGCAGCAATCACATGTGTGGAGCTAAACACTGGTTTTCTAATCTTGACAGTGTTGAACAAAACGGCTCAGTTCTTTGTCCACTAAGGCGCTACGACGACGTTTTCGCGCTCCTTCTCTCACACTAAAATGGCACCGTTTTCATCCAAGGAATCATCCTTCAAAGTCAACTCTGGACTCCTCGATTGCTGATTTCAGATCAGCCCTCTCGTTCATCTTCCTTCTCTCAAACTGCTCCAGCCTTCCTGCGATCCGCTCCACCTCGCACCGACTCTATTAGAAAGGCATGATGCAGGCTATAAGAAGGCGCTTCTCTAGGCAACGGTCTTCTATTCTTCTCGTTATAAATTGTAAGCTCTCCAGCTGTTTATTGTGTGTACTTCGATAGGTAATTGTGAGAACCTCTGGGTTTGAATCTCTCAATTTGGATCGAAGGGTGAGATCACTCTGGTAGATAGAATCAAAGTGTATGAGTTTGTACTGGGTGATTCAATCTTGGGGAGTGAGTGCTTTGAGTGTTTCTTTCTGTTCGAAAGAGCCAAGTTACTTGGCTTGGCTAAGTCTCGTTGTACTGAATTTTTCCATTTGAATAAAAGCTTCGTTTTTAGTTCAAATTCTAGAGAGTCATTAAACTTAATCTGTTTTCTGACTCTCTATTATTACAATACTCTGAGTCTTCAATTGGTATCAGAGCAGGCTCTTTGAAGGACTCACTGTCGCCAAAGAGAAGATCCCAAGATGTCTGGATCATCCTCAAGTGGTGTTGCATACTCAGCAAATACTAACCCTCCATGGTTTGATGGGACTGACTATACAGTCTGGAAGAAAAGGATGAGGATCTACCTGCGAGGAGTGGATGGAGAACTGTGGGCAGTTGTAAGAAAGGGACCAATACCTGTGGATGATGAAGATGAAGAAGACTGGAAGGAAGATCAGAAGGTTTCCTCCCAACTCGACTCAAGAGCCATGCACATCCTGTTCTCTGCCTTGTGTCCAGAAGAAAGAAGCCAAGTTGCTCAATGTGAATCAGCAAAGGAAATCTGGGAGTCTCTTCAGACTACTCATGAAGGTACGTCTGAGGTTAAAGAAAGTAGGATAGATGTATTAATAAATGAATATGAATCGTTTGAAATGAGTTCAGGAGAATCAATCTCCAGTATGTACAAAAGATTCAATGACTTGATCAACAGATTAAAAGGACTAGGGAAGGTCTTTGAAACCAAAGATTTAGTCAGAAAAATACTAAGAAGTTTACCTAGAAAATGGTTGCCCAAACGTACTGCAATTGAAGAGGCTAAAGATTTAAAAGTCCTATCTATAGAAAGATTAATAGGGTCACTACTAAGCCATGAGGAGGTCATAATACAAATGAACAAAGATGATCATAGGAAAAGAAAAGTCATAGCTTTTAAAGCACAAGAACGAGATAGTGACTCTGAAATTGATATGGGAGAAGAGTTTGAGAAGGAATTTGCCATGATTAGTAGGAAATTTCACCGAATGCTCAAAATGAAAAGGGATTTTCAGGCAAGAAAATCTTTTCATGATTCAAGAGGATTTAACAACAACTCTTATGATTACAAAAGAGATAGGGAAGAAACCGAGAGAACTCCTAGGACAAATGAAAAATATAGTTCAAACAGGAGTTATTTTGATAGAAATTCATCGAAATCTTATGATAAACCACCTGAAAGTCGAGAAAGGTTCAGATTTGATAAGGAAGACGCAAGGTCTTCCAATGAGAAAGATTTGACCATTTGTTTTAAGTGTGGAAAATCAGGGCACATGAGATCAAAGTGTCCTACTAGAGCAAAGGAAAAGGCACTTGCAGCTTCCTGGAGTGACTTTAGTTCAGAAGAAGAGCAAGATGCAAAAAATCTAGCATACATGGCCTTTGCCACCAGAGATGAAGGTGATGATCAGTCTTCATACAGTAACAGTCCATTAATGCCTTCATGCTACCAGGTAATCTCTGATTCAGACTCAGATGTAGCTGAAACCAAAACTGAGTTTTTGCATGAATTAACTAATCTTCAAGAGGAGTGTAATAGACTTAAAAGTAAATACTGTATGCTTATGACTGATAATCAAGCGCAAAAAGATGAAATTGATATGCTAAAAAGAACCTTGAATGCTCAAAGTGATTGGAATAAGGAGCTGAACAAACAAGTTTTTGACCTCAAGGATGAGAATCAAAGGCTAAGAGGTATCTGGAAAAACAACGGCATCTCCTCTAAACGAGAATCTGGCATGATAAATACAAGAAAACCATCTCAAAATAAAATCACCATGTATAATCATGAAAGGTATAGAAGGAACACAAGATATCCTGTAGTTTTTACCTGTTCTTATTGCAAAAGGAAAGGACATATAGCAAAATTCTGTTATGATTTAAATCCCAAAAAAATTAGGGTTTCCAAAACATTTTGGGTACCAAAATGCACTAATCTTTGACTGATTGCAGAATATGGGAGAAAGTGAGAACACATGGTATCTTGACAGTGGTTGCTCCCACCACATGACAGGTAAAAAGGAACTCTTTTCATCATTAAGCTTTAAGAAGGGAGGTAAGGTAGTGTTTGGAGATGATCGTGTAGGAATCATTATGGGAAATGGAACAATTGGTAAAAGTCCTCTACCCGTAATTAAAAA